GGGCATGGGGTATTAAATGGCACCTTGTGCAGAGAGTATAAATGCGCATGTGGGAGGTGGAGGAGGACTCTGAGGTTCTGGTCTTGCAGCCCCAAGCTCGGCTGTCTTCCAGCCTCAGTGCTTCAGTCAGGCTATTTTTATAACTTGGGCTGCAGTTTTTACTTACTATTTTTATCCTCTGTTAGTGATTACTCTCAATTATGAAGGAATTTAAACTTGCTCAACATATGTTAATGATTCTGTGTCACCCAGTGTAAACTGAAGAATGGTGTCGGCAGCCAGAGCTTGGGAACAAAGTCTGTGTAGGGGCCTGGTCTCAGTTTGGCACAGGAAAATACCACATTGTGTTAAGGCCAGGCACTGTCAGTTTTTATAACAGAACATGTAAGAGCCTATGCTGGGTTTATTCTTCCTTTTTACTTGACTGAACACTCAATCAGGAAGAGTTTCTAAGTCACCATCACAAATAGCCAGAGGAGCCAAATCCAACAAGCTGTCAGGACTGATTTTCCCAGAAAGATGAGTACAAAATGCTGTTCGTATTTACATGATTCATGAACATTTTTTGAGTTCTTAAGGATTCACTACAGCATATATAGCCAGTCTCTTCGCGAACGAAGAACCGGGGAAGGTCTTTCCACCTTCCAGCCTGCGCATTGGATTTTTTAGGTGAGACACAGTGTGCGCGGAACTGAGCCCACCCTTTAATCCTGAAGTTCATCTGCCGGGGCCAAGCACGCTTGGACGGTGGCAGCGAGGTCCTCAGGACGTAGATGGATTGCCTTATGGGCTAACGAGCTCCATCTGCCCGGGGAGGGGCCCTGACCGGGAATCGAACCCGGGTCTCTGCAGTGACAGTGCATAATGTGCTATTGCCAATCAAATCAACTAATTTCTCAGCAAACTGTTCTACTTTGCCATAATCCACTAGTGGGGTTTTTGCTTGCATCTGTTGGAATTATTATTTAACCAACCTGCAAAAATTTAAGCTACATTGGTTTGGAAGAAAAGAGAACTTTATGAATTAGCAAATCTCGATTATCAAGATCTTTGGGAGACAGAGGACACAAGCCTGTATGTGTCCTCCAGGGTGACCTCTGCTCCTCCCCCGGGAGGGAGAGAAGAGCAATGCTTCCAAAATGAGCAGCTTTTCCTCCATCTGCACCCCAGCACAAGGGCCTGGCCCATCCCACAAGAGCATTGCAAGGTCAGCTGGTGCTGCTGGAGCTGCTCTGAGCTGCCCCCTTGATGCTGTTCCCTTCAAAGAACATGAGCTCAGATGCTGAGGCAAACTGAGATACTCTACACTTAAAGCACAGCCCAATTTCAGAGAGCAGATGGATGGCAAGCAAGCCCACAGAAAGGGTTGGAGACCAGTTAAGCCGCACCTGCAGCCCAAGTGGATAGCTACAAGCTGTCAGTTATACCTCAGACAAGCTATCATTTATCCTCCTGTATAAGCACATCTTGCTCATCAATTTGTCGTTAAGAGAAAGCATTACTACACTAGTGAGGTCTGCATTTGCACTTAAATGAATTTTTAAACATCTTCTTGTTTAAGCTTCCTGACGGAGTAGATGTCTGCCTGTGGAAAAATTGAAAACCAATAAATAATACATCCACTGAGTGCTTCACCTTGGGAAAGGTCACATTTTGAAACATCTGTCTGTTCATCAAATTAAACTTTCTGTTTGATGGAAAGGAGATTATTTGGATTCAAGGACCAGTAGCAGAACTGATTGTGTGATGGGTCTCCGAATTAAAATAATAGCTTCAAAAGCCGTAGAGGTGCTGCTGGAGCAGCCTCCTCCTGCAGGGAACATGCAGAGTCTTACTGCTTCAATACTCACCCAAAATGATTATTATTTGTAATACGGCACAGAGAGTGAACATTTCCTAAACTCAGAAATTCTTACTGGCTATAACGCTTCAGGCTTCAGGACTGGTCTCTGTGGGGATTATGGTGCAGGTGTTCCTGCAAAGGATTGCTGCCGGCAGAGGGAAATCTTGATCTGGGCAGAACCACTCCTTAGTCACCCTGCTTTCCCTGCCAGGGACCCCTCCCTGCCCAGCCTCAGGAACGGAGTCATGATTCTCTTGCTGGAGTTGCTGAGTCTAAACAGAGGTGCCCGGGGCACTTCTAAAAGCTCAGGATCTGGAGCAGAGTGTGTAAGGAAACCCCCTCCTCTGGTCAAGATGGACACAGGGTTAATATGCTCCTAAGTTGTGAGACAATCACAGCTGTAGCAAACTGAAAGCAATTTGTGATACCTGCTTTGGGGACTCTCCTGAGAGCAGCAGCACAGCAGAGATGAGGTGCTGCATGTGGGTTCAGGGAAGTTCACAGAGACTGTGTTTTCTAGGCTGACAGCCACGGCTCAGCACTACAGGGGTGCAGAAATTTGAGACAAAACTGAGCCATGCTGGAAAGTTTCATCCATGTCCATCATGACTCAAAAAGCCATCTGTGGGAGGCAGAAAGCTGGATGGGGAGTGAAAGGGGAGGCTTGTGGGGGAGCAGTTCAGGCAGCAGTGTGGCTGGGGTGGCTTGTTGGGCAAAGGCAGGGACGTGCTGTGGAGAAATCCTGGTGTGCAGGCTGGGGTGAAGGATGGTCTAGGCTTGCACTGCAGTATGTGGTAGGATGAAAGGGGAAATTTTGCTTAATTTCCCACTTAATGATTAGAACATTAGTCATTTATTAGAACACAGATCTCTGTATTCATGCTATTCTTGCCCTGTGTTTTACATGATCTGGGTGCTCTTTACTGGCACCAATGCATTCCAGCAAAGCAGTGTTGTGGACATCCCCTACTGTAATGGGGGGCATGACAATCTTCTGAAGCAACTTTGCTTTCTCAAGGATGTCATGGGCAGTTTAGGAACAAAATATGAGATCTTTCGGACATAGCACTGGACCATGCCTGCCTGGCTGTGAAATAGTCTTTATCGTTTGGCCTGCCTTGCTCTCCTTTTCTTGACCTGACTCTATTTGAATGCAGCAGCCCTATTAGCTGCCTCAGTCATACATAAAAGGACAGACAGACCAGCTCTTCTGGAAAATTATATACACACACCTGTCATTGTGTATGTTCAAAACGAGAGCAGAGCCATGAAAGCAATCCCAGGAGTGATTTTATACTAAGGTGCTGCTGGTGGTGTACATGGCTCAAACGTATGAATCACGGTCATGCATCTTCTTAGTGCATCACTTATAGACAGGCCATGATGCCTATATATGTTGCATTTCTACCATACCTCTGTCATAGTAGAAGGCAAAGCTGGAATAACAAGGCCTGTGCCAACTCACAGCACATCCATAAATTCTAGGAATGCTTCTGAGGCAAGTTAAAACAAATTAGTAATTATCATGACTGACAGGTACTCTGCAGCAACCAATGAGGAGCCTGATGATGAATACTAAAAAATCTCTTAGCAGAAGAGTTACAACTGTGGCTGTCAACATGGCTATAATTAGGCAGCGCTAAGTGAAACGACTTCTTCTCAGATGCATTCCCTTGAGAATCCGCAGATCTGGATTGTCATACAAAGGAAGGAGATTAAAAGGGGCTGTTCACTGTTTGTGTTGTGGGGCCTACAGAGGCCAGTTCAAACAGAACCCAGGTGGAGTGGGTACAGGACTTGAGCTAGAGCAGGGTTAGTCTGCCCCTCAACACAAACTGTCATGCTTTGCATTCCACTTCTGCCTTCTTTTTCAGGGCCTGCAAGTACCTCACAAGTACCAGAGTTATGCCTCTCAAACACCCAGGAGTATTAATCACTTGAAAGATGAGTTAATAATCTCTGAGTTGTTGAGACATGCTGAAGGACTAGCTGATAAATTTTCATTGCACAGTGGGGAAGTGTTCCTCTGACTGGGATATCAGGTTGATGACAAGTTCAGAAGTCTCCAGGGAAGCAGATGAAGAGACAGAAGTTTTCTGTGTGAGCAGGAACAATCACTTATAAATATAAAACCACTTATAAATATAAAACCTCCTGTTGAAAATTCAAGCAGTGTTAAAAGAGACCCATACCTCCCTAGTTAAGGATTAATCTTTGCATAAGGGCTAATTGTTGCTGCACAATTTCTCCAGTGCCTAAAACAAGCAGGTCTTTCTTCAGCATCATGCCTTCTATTTTTACAGTTTAGAGGAAAAAAAAAAACAACGCACCCATGAAACATTTGTGCACAGAAATAGCTCTCCAACTACGACTGATTTCTTATGTATTTCTCATGCTGGATATCGCAGCCCTGATCTTGTTCTTTACATGTGACACCAGTTCTTGCAGTGGGTATGTATGAAAGGGGCTCATCCTTTAGGCAACCATACTGGCCTGAGATGGACTGGGCTGCCATGTCCCTGCCAAGGTGAAGCAGCAGCAGTGACACCAGCAATTGAGAAGGATATTAAAATGCCATTGATTACTTCAGTTCTGACTGTAATGCTGAAATCTGCCTGACTCCATCCTGGGTGCTGGAGACTAGACTGGATTTCCACAATAATAGAAAACATCACTTTTCAGCCTTGCTCACTGTTGTCGTCCTGGGAACAGAAAATTTTAATTTTCCACTCACTCCTCAAAATGCTGATCTGTTGACTCATTTTTCAGGTGAGCTGTTGTTAAATCTTTCTGGGCGTGTTGCTGCCACATCCTGTTTGTGCTGGAGTGAAGGGTTGAGCTTTGTTACCAGTTCCCTGTGCATCCATTCTAACATCAAAAGGCCTTGGGTTAAGAACAGTTGTGATTCCAGGGATGCCTTGACTCATTGTTTCTAATCTTTACACAGGATTTGATCTATAAAGGCTAAGCACCATTCAAAAACTTTCCAAGAGATTACAGGTTTAAATGAGTTGATGCTTTACATGGATCTTATGGCAGTAGGAGCCCATGGCTGGAAGGTGGTTGTGAGGTTACATCTGTCATATCCCTGAAAGGCAATTCCCTGCAAGAGATGTGCCTGCAGTCAAGATTTATGACTCAGGCCATTGTCTCTGGGTAGTGCCAGACTTGTCAAGTGTGGCTTGGCCATCACACTCAGCTATAGAACCAGAACATTCGTTTCTCTCCTGAGGAAGGCAATGGAAAGCATGAAGGATTGAATTAATTTAAGGGTAAGTAATTCCAAAATTCAATTTTTCAGGTCTTTTTAGTCCTTCCTTTTGTGTTTCAAAGACCCTCCACCCACCTGGGGTGGCAATATGCTGTCACTATCAGTGCACCTGCGTGGAGGACAGCAGAAAAGCAGCTCTCTCTCGTGAGTCATCACGCTCTCATCTGAAACATTTGGTATGATTGGCAAGGACTCTTGTAAGTATATCTTTTCTCCATCTGGCAGTTTGATCCATGTTCCCCTGTCATCACTTCTGATGGATTCATTTCACATGTAATGGAAGACTGTCTCACGAGTGTTTAAAAAGCAATAGCAAGGCAGTTGCCAGCACTCCAGAGTAGAGACCTTTCACCCCTGTCTCTGCTGGCTGGTGTTTTTCACTGTGTGGTAGGAGGAGCAGCTCACCTAGCAGCAGTCTCCATCTTAATGTTTGCTACGGTGGAAACATTTCTGACAGTATAAGAGAAAGTGTATCCAATGGTGACCACTACCAGAACAAAAGAGCAGGTCTGAGCACTACCCAATGTTTTCATGTGCAAAGCTAGCACCACCCACACATGCTTGTGAGAGAAAGCAGTGTAAAGGTGACGCCAACACTGTTAAGGACAACTACAGTCGAGGGAGGGGTAGAGGTTCATTTTCAAATGGAAAGTGGGAGTACAGCTCTCAGATGAGTCAGTGAGGAAGAGCCCCCGCAGAGGAGTCTCACACCTCTTTCTGCCTTGCAGAGCTGCTCATTGTTGCCTCTTTGCTCCTGTCCTACTTTCTAGGAAAGCTGCAAAAGTTCACTGCATTCTCACAATGCCCCCAACAGCAATTCTGAGCAACATGCACTACCACAGCACTCAGTAAATCGTACAAAGAGAAATCTAAGGATGACAGACAACATTTTTCACCACACTCCCCCTTGCATGAGTAAGAGCTGATCCTGAGCTCAGCTGAGGTGGGGAAAGAGCATACCTGGGATTTTCCGTGAATCTCACAAGTGTGTAACAAGAATGTTCTTCTGCATTTCTGTACAGAAAACAATGGTGCAGAGAGGATGAAAAACATTCTGCAAACTCCACTTTTGGCCTTCATTACTGGTCAGAGGTCAAGTTCTGTCACTGTGCCACCAATACTTACCCATAGATGTTTGCATCAACAACAGACCCATCAGGAACACCGCTGGAAAACTTGAGAGCCCAGCCTTTATATGGCCTCATGGTCCAGAACATCCTCTCCTTTTCATACAGTCAGACCCATAATTGCAATGTAAATAGCATTTTGGTGTCCTGCTTACAGCACTCAACCTGCAAATGTCCATCCTACAGGTGGCAAGGCACACTTGCCATGTCTCCATGATCCTTGGGGAACAGGGTGATGGGAAAAAAACAGAGTGGTTTGTTCTACAGCATCTTATCCAGTTCACCCATCCTTTCAGAGCTACCTGGTCATCAAGAAAAGTCTGGCTCTGTCTTTTTTTATCTTTGCAAATCCTTGACTTTCCCTGTACCAGGAGAGAGGACCAACTGGACTGTATTGCTGGGAGGAGACAGTCCTCACTTCCTGATCTGTGGCAACCATTTAGAGTTCACAGCTCTAATCTCTCTGTATGTTAGATTTTCATCATCAAGCATTAGGTATCACCTGTACCACTAAAAAGATCTTTAAAAGCTCCTGAAAAGAACTGGGTTTCAATTCTTCAAAGCAAATTTTTAATATGCTCCCGTTCTTCCCTACACTCTATTTTCGCTTGCAAATTTCCATCCCAGGATGCTGTAAAAACGTCAGCACAACAGGAAGTATCTCTTACACACTGAACCCAGACTAATGATGTGGGGCTGATTCCTAATGACAGCCACAAGTCAGCATGTTTGCAAGCAGTCCAGAAGCATCACTCACTCATTCAGCTTCCAAAACAGGCTTATTTGTAAAGCAACTTCTGGCTGTTAGGGCAAAAGAGAATCTAAACGGACTGGAAGTTTACCCTTACATTTATGTTGTCACAAACAAGTACCAGTTTACTGCCTACCAAGGATTTCTGATGTCTAATGTCACTTGCTATTTATGTATACCAAGCATCAAAACTCCCCTGACATCCTGCCTCTTGGGCACAGGAGTTCCTGGAGGTAAGCTGCTGGTAAGTATTTCTCAGGCAAGACTAGCAGCTCAGCAAGTTTCACCCATTATTAGGAAATAACATTTACAATTAAAACTTCTCTAATAGACTGATATCAAGAACATGCTGGAGAAGGTACGATGTTGAAGCTTGAACCAAAAAAAAGCAAAGATAATAAGATCTCATTATAGGCACCTTATTAATAGTGAAAAATTCTGTTTCTATAGGACTCTTCACTATCATATTTATCTTGGAGAAAACCCCATAAAAAACCAGAAAACCCCTGAATTACGAACGTATCAAGCAACATTTTGAAAATGGTCATTGGACAATAACCACTGCTGTGATAGTTCCAGAACTTTATATTTTGAGTTCAAATTTATTCATACTAGACTAGGATCCTTTACCAATATCATATTAAGAATTTTAAAAGATCTTCCTTTGCTATGATACATTTAATAAGGCAACAGAGCCCCCCTCAACCTTCACTCTATAAAATTAAACAAGCCCAGTTCCTTTAGGCACTGTTAATAAATGCATTTTCCATTCTCACATCGATGTTTGCAGCTTTCTCTGCACATGGTGCAGTCTTGAGTTGTTCTTCCTCCTCGAGTACAGGTTGCCTGAACAGTGCACAGATGAGTTCTGGGTTTACATGCCTGGGAATACATCAGTACTCTGCTTTAGAAAAAACCTTTTTGGATACATAAATTATCTGTTTGCCTTTTTCATCACCAACCCATCATAGCCATAATATGATCAACCATTACCCTCATTCCTTCCTCACTGCAGCCCTCTCAGAGCTATGGGTGGCCTTCTTGGAGCAGACACTCTTCTGAAGGTCAGACTGATCTGGCACAGCTTTAAGATGATCGGGCACAACACCTTGAAAAATACCGATATTATTTTCCTTCCCACTAAGTAATTCCTTGCCCGAGTTGTCTTGTGCTGGTTTCTTATTCACTTTGATACCCAGTTCTAAGGGTATTTGTCTAGTCCAAGACAAAAATCATCACAAGGGATCAAATCACCCTAGCTTAGCAAGTTAGCTCGTCAGTTTAGCATACAAATAAATGAGTTATGCCTGGGAATTCAACAAGAGATACCAGCTGAGTTTGCCCTAATCATTTTATCTACATCATTTTCTACTTACCTTCAGGTTTTAATTCTTCTTTCCTTCAAAAATTGTTCTAAAGATCTCCCATGACTGTAGAAAGATGTTGCAATATGCTTTTAGGATATAAAAGAATGCAGAAGTTTGTAATGTTCTTAAGTGACCACGTTTCCAAGATGGTGATTGTAAGCCTTTGTGTAACCCTTCTTCTTCCCAAAACCCCTCACTGTACCTTGGAATGTCTAAGAGATAACTGGAAATTTACCTATTGGCTGTCAACCCTTTCTTGTAATTGGTTGGTTTGTAACACCTCCTTAATTCCCAATTGTGATCCCTCTGAAACCTATTTAAGCTGTTGTCAGAACAATAAAGGTCTCTCTGCCTGCTTCCCTGCTGGCCCCGTGTCCTCTCTGCTGGAGGCCATGAGGCGCCACGGGGTGGGGGGACCAGGCGGGGAGCATTCTCCTCCTCGGGGCAAGAGGTAAAAGGAAAAGCCTCTGCTCTGGGGTTCACCTTCCCCATCCAACTCAGTGTTCGTCAGAAAGACATAAGTCTTTGGCTGCCAAGATAATCTTTGTCTTTCTAATAAGCATGGGTACGATGCTTACTGTTCTGCTGTCAGGTTGCAGGACTGCTAAATTTTAAAATCTCTGTTTTATACACCAATTCTTCAAAACTCTTGATGCGGATAAATTGATTTCTTCTCTCAGTTTGAGAACACTAAATGCTGTGAGCTTCTCGACCACTTCACTTATAGTCATTCCTAAATCATCTTCACCTTTTCTCCAGCTAGCCACCTTTTATTTTCTGGTGTAGGCAGAGCAAGAAAGGAAGTATTCCTCTGTTGTGTGAATTTACAACAGCTACTGCAGGTTCCCTCTGAGAAGATAAACAGTTATCATATAGAGATAGTATTACATATAAACCCACATTCTCCTATTCACTTTTTCACTTACTAAATCACCATAATGTTTTACAAATATATAGACCTCTCTATTGATGAACTTTGAGAGAGAGCTGAGAAGTCCTGCCAATGTGAGGCTGAAGATGGTACATTAAACTCCAAGGAAGCTACTGGCAAAGTACCTAAGGAAGCAGTTATATCAGAGAATAAAGGTAAAGCTCTGTAGTTAAAGCCTTTGGCTTAGGTAGAGGCTAAAACACACACGAATTTACCTACAAGGGGCAGTAGGAGAGCAAAGGGGCCCTTTTCATTTCACCACAGAGTGAGTCTCCCACGTGAAAGGTGTGTTTTTGTACTGGTCAAAGTCAACATCAAAACTCCCTTTGGTTTTAATAGCATCCTGTACTTGCAGACTGTTTTTTGCTTACCTGGAGCTGAACAGAACTACCTACATGCTCTTTTGCATTAGTGGCTGTTTGGTGCCAAGGAAATGGATTGTCACAAATTGCTTTATCCAGGCACTAACTGTAGCATAAGAGACTTCCAGAAGCACACAGTAGACTAAATGCACCCAGTTCTCTATTTACTGATCGTTCTGACAGACGAAGAACTTGGCAAAGGCTGTTAAAGCGAGTGTTCCAACTGAACTGCAGTTTGTGCTGCAGAGGGGCGTCCTTCTGTCTGATTCACCATTAGGTACCACTGCTCCTCAATTGCATGTTCTCTAGCACCCTTACAGTATGTGAAAGTTTTTCCTTTCCTCAAGCACAGTTTTTTTGTCAGACAAGATAACAGAACCTTGATAATTCATTTGCTGCTAATTTGGTGGAAAATCACATCATCTGGTGAACTATTCAAAGAAGAAATGTAATTTTAAGTTTGTACCTTAGCTTGCATAACCTTTGGCTGTGAAGTCCGTGTCCTGTGAAATCATGTGTATCCAGACCAGCTGGACATCTTTACGAGTGCATTTGGGAATAAATGCATTTTGCAAAATATTAAACCTAACTCAGAGGTTCCTAAGTGAGTTCATTAGTTACAGTGGCAGAATTCCAGTGGCTTGGCAACAGCCCCCCAGAAGTGAGTGTGCAGCTGTCCTCCTGAGAGCATTGCTGGCCTCAGCCAGCCATAAAAGGACAAGTGCTGTGTAAGGTCACACACGCAGCTTTCCCAGCAGCTTGCTGCCTTTCGCTGCAGTATGCTCTACTGCACTCCTGGGCCTAATCTGCTTAGCTGATTGGTTAATGTGCTGTGCTCTATGGGGGGTTTGAGACACAAAAAAAGGGACCCTGACAAAACCAAATGCACTGTCAAAGGTGACCTCTTATAAGCAGCACACAGGCTAGAGGATGGCAGTGACACAACCACCATGCAGCCAGGGGTTACGACCATCGTGGATCTGCTCCTCAATCAAACACACTTCAGCAAGGCCTGAGACACAGAACAGCAGCTGGGAACTCCTGAAGGCACCCAGACTGAAAAACAGCTGGAGCTGGGGCAGTCGCTGGCTGGTGGAGGTTCAGCCTGTCCAGCCAGACATCACAGCTTTGGGGAGGAGCTCACTTCACACATCTGTGTGCCTGCTCTGTCAAGTCTCCTTACTAAGATGCTAACTGTTTCTGTAAAGGCCTTCCACAAAAATGGGTAACAAATGAAAATCAAGAACACTTCTGAAGAGGCTCACTAAAATTTATTTTATTTTCTATAAATAAGCAAATATTTTTCAATGTAGAAGTGAAATAGGTGTAAAGTGGTTAATGTAAGGACTATCACATTGTTCCTGCTCATGGAATAGTAAGATCATTTAACCATGGGGTATACTTATGCACTAGTTTGCATGTCTGCAATCTACATAATGGAGATGTTCTAGCATGTTCTTGTAAGATATGAATAAGGACAGGGTATTTGTAAAGCTAACTTTCTACCACCCTATAGTTCTAGTAATAGTGTCATGTAAATATATTACCTAGTAAGAGAAGATACGTTGTATCGTGTAACCGAGCCACATATATCATTTACAAATGTATATGCAAATTTTATACCTTAGAAAAATCATTAAAGCACGTATTTACAGTGAAGAAATCTGAAGACTGCCATTTAGTTATTGCTGTGTCTGTGATTCTAAAACCACTAAGGATCTGCCTTTGCTAGTTTTCCGGTTTATACTGTGAAAGCAAATGACATGTCCTATCAGAGTTTTAATCATGGTTCTATCACTATTAAAATGATGAACTAAATCGTTCAGACACCAGGAAATGCTGAGGTCCTGCAGAGGACACTGGGAGCGACTTTGGATCTGAGGCCCTGACAGGAATGGCTCCCTCATGCTTGCCCAAGTTATTGGAAGTAATTTCACTGCATTCTATAGATGGCTGATTGATTCTCAGATGGGGGATTCTTTTGATCACGTTAACTTAGCAACTAGAAGGTGCCCTTAGAAATACACGCCCAAATATAAACACTTTATACTGGGATATTGAATTTCCTACAAACTTGGCATCTAACCCAGATTTCCTGCCAGAAACATAACACACTGCAGGAACTGCAAAGTTTGGAAGTTTAGAGAAATCTGTGTTTTATGCTGTTTTCTAAAGCCTGTTAACAGTGATCAGGAGTTACAATCGGGGCAGCTTACACCTGGAGCAAAGTGCTTGTCTGGGCTGTATTTTTGGCACAGCCTATATGGCTGTCATGGACAAAGGAGACAGAGAGCAGGCCCTTCACATGACATCTGAGAAGTTAACAAATGCATAGTTAGCCAAGACCGTGAAATACCTGCATGCTAACTTCCAAAGCTATTAGAACAAATTTCAGCACACTAAAAGGAGCATACAGGGCTCAAGAACGACATAATTCAACTTTACCACTTTCATGGCTTGTTTATCACTTAGGGTGGAGATAGAACAGAGCTACTTCTAATTCACACTGTACAATACCCTGAAGCCCCAGCTGAAGGCTGCTTCCATCCCTCTGGGCTATGAATATTGCTCACTATCTGGCTCCTACGCATGGATGTGCACGACTAGTCCGAGTTGTGTACTGTTTTGTCCTTGCTAGCTGCCCTGGTGGGAAGTGATGTAGAAATCAATGTCTTGCTTTTATTAAAAAATCAGAAGTCAAAACTGGTATTTATTTCAGAGTTGCCAACATTTATTTCCAGTTATAATTTCTGCTTACTTTGACCTCATTGTGGCTTTGCCTGTCAACTGAGGTTGTAACTTTATCAAAAAACTTGAATCCTGCCAAACCAGCAAATCGGAAAATTTGGAAAGAGCACCACAGACCCCCTGGCTGGATATGCAGCAAGAGGTTATGGCTCAGATCAGCCTGGGTCACCCTGTAATTTTGTGCCAATAAATTAGCCATCACATAGCCTGCCAACTGTTGGGAATGTGGCACCTCTTATCCCAGTTAGGCTTGATGGTTCCCATGGGGTTACTAAAATGTGCTATTGAATCAGAAGCCCTTTGGTTTAAGTACCACGATGATCACATGGGTGTGGGACAAACACAAGGCAGAAGTCAGGTCCTGCCCTAGGGGTACCATATTTGGACAAGCCAAAGGTGAGAACAGAAGTACATGGTGAGATGAGTCCTGCAGGTGGAAGTTCCTCTCTGCTAGTTCAGGCTTCTAGGCAGTGTACAGCAGTGCTTGACACTGGAGCTCCAGTCAGTTATTGATTCACTCTGTAAAAAAGAATAAGAAATAGTTTATTTTACTAGAAATTATAACCTGCAGTTCTCAGAAATGCAGAAAGCCACCACTAAATGTGCCAGCATGGAGGAAAGGCTACAGCTGACCAGAAATTATATCCTGTGGGTCCAAGAGTCAGCACAAAATCAGTTCAAATTGATGGTTAAATCCCTGCAGGCCTTCCCTTCGGTGAGCCTTGGCAGAAACACGAGCACTGCTGAAACTCACTGCAAACAGAAGTAAAGCAGAAAGACTCATTCTGCTAAGACAGCTGATCTGTGGGACCTTCTAGAGTAGCAGTTTCTTGTTGAAGCCTTGTAGTCTAGATAATCTCAGGCTACAGTGGAAATGGTCTTCCCACCAGATGCTCCCAGAGAAATTTCTTGTGCTCCTGAATAGGCAAGATGGAAACTCACACGAGGGCTCTCCACAGTGTGTTACTGACTTGTCATGGGAACTGCATGGTAACATGATTTTATGAATTTGACTAAAAGGAAACCAATCAATTTACCAGCATTTTCTGGTTTGTTCTAGATATAGGATTAATCAGATCTTCACTACATGCCCTATGAAGCATCTTTGAACTCTCTTCCCATAGCCAAATTATTCTGGTGAAATCCAAGCAGTATTTTCATGTATGTCACAACTGATACAGAAAGGAAAACCTGCAGCTCACTAAAAACTTGTGATTCAGGGCTTGAAATTGTGGCTATGTTAATGGGAAAAATGAATGCCAGAAGGTAAAACTTATACAGTGTTTCCACAATCTGCTGCACCTCCTCTCCTCCCTGCCAGCCCTTATAGACAACCCCACTCCAGAGCTTTTCCAGAGCTCTGCTATAATTTTCAATTCGTTGGTCTCTAACTTCCCACAAACTGAAAATTCTTTTCTTCTTGTTCACCTATAGAAGGCAGTGTCCTTATGTAGAAAGGACAGCTTAGTCTCTTCCCAAACACGTAAGATTTCCAGTGATTAAGAGCAAGTGATTTTCATTGTCACAGCATTCCTTCCTCACTGAAAGAAACCAGGGCAACCAGAGGTTGGGATTTCGCTGACGCTCCAGATAAACTGCTTCCCTGCTGGAGCTACAGCAATACTGTCTGATATTCACACATCTTGAGAGAACTCCAAAACTGCAGCAAAAATACATATTTAAAAAACAAAACAAACCAACAAAACCAAACCCACCATTAAATGCATATAACAAAGAACAGAAAGGAAGGATTCTTTTGATTTAAATTTTTTTCAAAAGTCCTCAAAATTAACGGCTTGAAGACAACTACACTCTCTCCCCAGTCTCTTGCTGGAGACAGCAGAGTATGACTGTGTGTCAGGAAAACGATGCGCTCTCAGCTACAAACTGGGTATTAGTGAGCTCCAGAGGACTGCTTGCTGTGCAGCCAGACGGAAACTGTGTGACGCGGATACAAATGCCATGAGCCTGCGGAGCGAGAGGCTGGAGGGGTGGAATGCGGCCGCGCTGGCAGACGGAGCCGAGTCCCCAGCAGGGGGTGGGCTCCGACCGCGCTGGAAGAAGCTGCGGCGGCTCCGGGAGAGGGAAATCCCTGCCGCTGTCCGAGTTATGCCGTGGTGGGAGAGGAGCAGGACGCATTGGCCCGGATTTCTGAGACTGTACTGCTGTGTGCTTGTGGTGGGTGAAAGCTGGTTTTCCCCACAGAAGTCGAGTGCCCTGGCGGACAAGTCACGGAGGTCTCAGTAGCAAGGCTCATTGCAAAGTGAAAACGCATTCAAATTACAGGGATCTCTCTTATTTTGGAGATGCACTTCTTTAACAGCAGCAAATGCTGGGTTCTTAATGCCCACCTCAGGTTTGCAAACATCTGACATCTCAGAGACCACAAAGCTACCTGACCTGCTCATGTCCACGAAGAACACGAGCCTCCCAAGCCCATGAGAAAGTGAGGCACGTGAAGCTATCAGAGAGCAGGACTGAGGTCT